TTGCCCTTGTCCGAGTCGGGGGGGGGGGTGGATGGAAGCCGTCAAAGCATTGAGTGCCTGTTTTTGTGGGCACTCCCTTACCATGTGCGGTCCTCCGCACAAGAAGCATCCTCCAGGTTTTGAGGCCTTGCCTTTCGGGTTTGGCCCTTTGTGGGAGCTCTTCTTCTTTTGTTTGCCCCCGAGCTCCTTCCCTCGAGAATGTTTTGGAGGGCGATTGCCTGAAGATTGTTTCCTTCTCGCTGGGTCTTCGGAGGAAACAAAGTCGGTGAGCCTTTCTGTAGCAGCTATTGCCCCAACCACGTCGGTAACATTCCTTCGATTTAGCTCCTGTTGAGCCCATGGTTTCAAACCATCAAGGAAGCTGAACAACTTGTCCTTCTCGGACATGTCCTATATATCCAGCATTAGTGCAGAAAATTGTTTCACATAGTCTCGGATGGTGGTACTTTGGCGGAGTTGTCTCAACTTCCTTCTTGCGACGAACTCTATGTTCTTCGGTAGGAACTGAGTTCTCAACTCCCGCTTCAAGTCCTCCCATGTGTCGACTCAACACCGACCTTGTTGGATCTCCTCCCAACGAGTTCGCCACCAAAGTTTCGCATCTCTGTTCTGATATATTGTTGCTATAGAAACTTTGGTATCTTCATAATCGGGCCTCGTAGCTCGGAAGTATTGCTCCATGTCGAACAGAAAGTTCTCGAGCTCTTTGGCATCTATGGCCCCTCCATATCCATGAGGCTCGGGTGTCCTTAGATTTTGTGGCGGTGCAACGCGGGTGTTGCTTCCTCCCGTATTTAGCGTTCTTGTGAGCATGGCCACCTTTGCAGTGAGTTCCGCCACAACATCCTGTAAGTGTTGCACGGAGTCTTTAGTGTCGTCAGACAGTCGGTCGACTAGGGCCTCGACCTTGTCGATCCTGGACTCCGCTTCCTCTTGCGAGCTCTCTACCCCAACAAGCCTTTGTTGGCCATGGTAGAGTTCCTCCATGCTTGCTTCAAGAACATCCAGGCGGGTTTCCACCGTTGTGAGTCTCTCCTTGTGACTCTTTTTCCCAGTTAGCGCACCAGATTGCGCTTCCTCCGCTCGCAGAGAGTAGCCAACTTCTCGCTCATCCTGTTCGCTGCCGCGCTCCTCTTGAGGGGCTCCAACAGCATGAGAGCGAGTGTGCACATGCAGCCCACCTGCGGCTGCTTGGGGCAAGGGTCCGGCTTGCCCCGTCTTGCTCGATTCGCCACGATGCTTTGCCATGGCGAAGTTGCGAAGTTCGTTCGCTGTTCGCTCGAAGTGCTTGCCCGCTCTGATACCACAATGTCACGACCTTAGCTGGAATTGCCTAAGGCGTGAGGCACCCTTGCGGCCAAAGACGTGAACTTAGTTTGCGTTGCCTAAGTCGCGAGTTACCCTTGTGGCAAAGACGCGAACTTAGCTTGCGTTGCCTAAGTCGCACTTCGCCCTTGCGATATTGCTCCGCAAGGATTAGCCCACTTTGTAACCTCTCGCAGGTCCCGAAGGACCTGTAAAAGAGAAAGATGGTTAGTTCGAAAGAACGAGAAACAGACAAGTCCCGAAGTCTCGCGAAAAGGGGAAGCATTACAAGCAATTCGACGAACACCTTATGTGCACAAGAGAAAAGAGGGAGAGGGAGAAAAACAAGGCTTTCAAGGATGAACGAACAGCTACAAGCCCACAAACAGCCGCTCACCTGGTCCCGGGCGCGAAGACAAGTTCCCGTAAAGGTCACGTGCGAACTTGCGAAAGAGAGTTCAACGCTCGGTATATAACCGAAGCCCCATCCAGTCCTGTGCCACCCGGGTGGTTCTAGGGGTCTGAGATGGCTGACATTTTGGTGAGCGGAGGCAGTTCTCTGCAACCCTCCCGCGGCACGCGCAAATGGAGCTGTTTTGGGCTATTTTAGGGCTGTTTTGCTCGGTTCGGTGAGCGGTCGCTTTGCAACGCTGCAGCTTGTTCGAACTTACATATTTACAAGCAGAATAACCCAAAACCAAGAGAAACCATGCTGTCAAGCAGCTGTACATGCAGGTGTGAGCGACGAACGGTTCGTTGAACGGAGTTGTTGCGGGTGCGCGATGACCGTTCGTGACAGTTCGTAGCCGCTACACGAGGCATTACTTGTGCGTGGCCTTCGGTATCCAGTTGACATCGACCGCTAGTAGCGGTGCTGTCGTAGCCGCTATAGGTAGCGATGGTGTTGCTGTAGCCATTGCACATAATGACGCTATGCAACGGCTGCTCATGACCGAGCGGACGACTAATGGAGGTCACCGCCCTCAATAATATTATCGCTGATAGTAAGCTATTGACAATGATCCATCAATTAAACATAAGAAGCTTTACATCTTCCACAAGCAAGCAATAAGATGAATTGGTTAGAAAAGTAGATCGATAATATCGATGAATCATTCATGCATCGTAAATAAAAATGATTAACACCTTTTTGTGAACGAAAGATTCTAACAAATAGATCTAAAATATTTGATTTCAAAATCATATTTCTGATACCAATTGTTAATATAGAAACCATAATATGCTATTATTAAGTGAAAGATTTTAATGTTAAAATTTTAAAATCAAATAATAATATATCTAAAGATTACGATATGTATCTTTTAATGTTATTCAGAAAATATTTTTTCTAATCTATGAGCGCACCATCGTCGGATCAGAGATTTGTAGTAATGTCAATCAACAAGGAGAACTAGACTCGCCTTCTCTCTTCTTATCCTTCATAGGACCACTATGATTGATGGATTTAGGGACAAAAAAAATATGAAGAAGATTTATAATATGTCATTGACTAGTTCACGTGACTAGGGGAGATGAGAGAAGATTTGTGATCTCTCAATCATATTACATATAAACACATTCGTGTACCCACGTATCCACATGTTTGCGTATTTAATTGTATATGTTTGTGTTATATTGAGTCCCTAAGAGATTATATTTTATAGACGAGAGCAGGGGTCTAGAATAGATAATTAAAAGAGTTTCTCTCATTAAGGTCATCTCCTAAGAAATCCTACCATAATTGGACTTCTTTTTTAGTGGTTGATAACCTAATCAGAATCCAATAATATCCATAATATATTTTACTTAATTAGATATGATCATATAATCTAACAAAATATTTATTTTTAAATGAATGTCACGTACCTTATTCTAGATTAGTGATGGTTAGTGATCTATCAAATAGGAACAAGTATCCACCATTATATGAATATCGCACACTCTCTTCTAAAAGAGAGAAGGTTACGGATTCATATGATGAGACACGTGTATAACCTCTCAGATTACCTCATACAAGCTCAAGCCTAAAACTCGATAGAAATATATCATATACTTAAATCATATTATAATCTAATAAAAAAATATATATATATAGGATGGATACTACATTAGCATTTATGCCTATATGACTTTGGCATATTGATCTAGAGCTTTCCACGTCCTCTTGAACTACTATAATAGTATAGTGATGCTTTGATCACTATCCCCTTATATTTTTATCGCAACATAAACGAGCATCGGTCGTCGACATCCATATGTTCACACATAGGTGGATCAACAACTCCCAATTAAAAAAATCCAAGTATATAGCTAATAAACATAAAAACCAATAGAATGACAAGAGTATTTGGTTGTCAAGCACACTCGTAGTATTAGACATGAAGCAAATCGCCTCCTAGGGTTATAGGTCCTCACCGCAAATAACATACCATACCGCATAATCCATCCGTATTAAAACTCAAGCTAGATTTGCAACTTAACACTGTTATACTGTGGAGGAGAATTTATTGATTGTTGCAAACCCTAAAAAACAATTTGGGGGTAAAACAAACATTCAAAACTAACCAACCGCCCCTTTGTATCACAATCTTATTTTATAAAATGACTATTTTACCCTTCATTTAATCACACGTGATGTCACGTGTAATGGCTTCTGTGAAAGAATCAGATGGCAATGTTAAAAATGATCAAAATATAATAATTCGAACTTATGAAGAATCAAATATAATTATTTTTAAATGCAAAAAGCTCGATATACTAAACGGTCCAAATTTCACGGGAAAATATATATTAATTAGCCCATTTCTTTCAAGAGCAAGATGATCTTGACCGTTCATTTAATGAACCTTTCTTTGATCTACGGTTAGAAACCGGTCTAAAGCTATTATTATACATCCAAAAGAAGAGGTTATTATATCCGACACATTGTATTTTATATACTCACGGAAACGATGGAGGTTAGGGGTTCGTTTACGATCTTCGTCTCGCTTTCGCGATGGTGGCGATGCTTTCCGGCGATATCCCTCCGAATCAAACCATTTACATCAACAATTTGAACGAGAAGGTCAAGAAAGAAGGTGAAATCTCTTGTTTTATGTCGATCCTTTAGGTTTCGTCGTATTACATTTTTGTTCGTGTTTCTCAGTGTTGCGTTAGGGTTGTTGTTGAGGTATTTTTGTGAATCTTAGTCGTCGCTTTTCTTATAGCAAACCAAGATCGTTCAATGCAAGGTTGTTTCTTTCCTCATTTTCTTGATGAAATATGACACAAAAAAAAGGTCTCATGGGAGATTGGCAAACATAAGGAAACTTCACATGAGTTCCAAGATTGGTTGGTATAAAATGGGATCCTATTTCTGATAGGTGAAAGCAACTCATGACTAGTCATCCACTGGCTTTTTTTACTTTGTAAGCCGTAACTTTATGCTGTCTTCACTTCCAGTAATTGGCAATATCTGCCAAGTTATTATTATTAATTTTCTGTTCTTGAAGTTCTCCATATTTGCGATATGTTGTTTTCTAAATGAGACTTTGGAAAATAATATGTAATGTTCCTTTGAGCATTTTGATGACCTTGAGTTCTGCAAGAAGCAACCCTTTCTTTGTAAGCACCAGTTTTTTCTGTTAAATATATAATTTTTTACATTGCTGCCCCTCAAAAATCTTAGTTATCCTTTGCCAGAGTTGAAATATTCTATGGTGAAAGAACCAAGTGTGCACCATTCTTATCTCTTACACATGAAAACACATTTTGATTTCATTTTTTTTTAAAAAAAATTCTGGTTTAGGTTACATCAGGTGGTGACTTTTGTATGTTCTTTCAAAAATCAGTATTTTCATCTCAGTTGATGAATATATTAATTATTATCTTGAATATTATATTCTTTTGCCATTGGATTCAGTAAAGCAATTTAGGTAGAGATTGTTACAGAAACCATGGTCTTTGTGCTGGTGAACTGTCGTCCTAGGAAACTATTTTGTGTTCAATTTTGGTAAGTTTTCAGGTACTAAATGATATGCCATGAATAAGAATATAGTGATTTGAAATTGTTCTGTTATATGTACATTAAATTGTTGGCACCTCACAAATGGCCTTCAGTTTGGCATTAACTAATGATATGATTCTTAACTAATGGAGACAAATAATGATCTGATTCTTACTTTTAGTATTTGCAAATGTGCTAATGTTTTATGTGCTATACTCCTTACCTTTTGTTACCAAAAATTTTCTTATTTAGCTCTACAGGTTAACCTGACAGGAATTAGTGGATTTTGTATCAACTCTTCATGGCTGCAATTCATCACTGGTTTTCTTCTGTGGCAGAACTGAAACGGTCCCTCTATGCTTTATTTTCTCAATATGGAAGAATTTTGGATGTGGTGACCCTAAAAACAGCAAAACTTCGAGGCCAGGCATGGGTGGTCTTTGCTGAAGTTACAGCTGCTAGTAGTGCAGTACGGCAAATGCAAAGATTCCCGTTCTTTGATAAACCAATGGTGAGTGCTTATATAATTGGCAGCACATGATGTTCTTTTTTATTTCAATGTAGAGCTTACACCTTTAAGATAAGAGGATGCATACTTCTATATAGTTCAGACATTTGCTTCATAGTAATTTCATTGTGGTAGTGAGTCACCGTTGGGCATTATCATATATGTATAATATGTGCACTGGGTTACAGATTTGCTTGATGGTTATTACCTAAATTTTTGGTGCAGAGGATACAATATGCAAAAACAAAATCTGATTGTGTTGCAAAAGCAGATGGAACTTTTGTTCCTAGAGAAAAGAAGCAGAAGCAAGAAGAGAAAGGTAAACAATTTTCTTTGCATTTTTCTTCATGAACTATGTGGAATATATCAATATACTCAACAACTGGTTTACTTCTTAATTGCACAACTGGTTTACTTCTCAATGCAATTACAACATTTTGAGCATCAAAACAAATGGTTTGGTGTTGGGGATGCAAAGTCTGCTGTGCGATTTAAGGGAGAGAAGTGTAGGAGTGAGGATCATGTCAATGAAAATTTTCATTTTTGTTATTCTCAGGGCTGTTTTCACCATCATTTACTAAATAGTGGAGGCATCTTAATTTTTCTACCTTCTTTCAACTAATCTTTATGATTATATGCCAGCTTTATTTCTGTAGATAAAAATAGTTCCCTGATTGTTTTGTGACTACCTATATCATAATTTGACCCAAAGGCCTTCTGTGCTTATGAAAACCTTTAACTAATGCCTTCCGTAGCTTTTGATAACATTTTATTTTGATTTATCACCTGGAAATGTTGAAAGTAATGCTTTGACCTGAACCATGTGTAATTCTTGGAAGAAATATGATGCACTAATGTGATTCTAGGAGTTATTTAAAGTGATAAACACATCTGAATCCATATCCAGATTGTTGTGCACATTCACTTTTCATCACTTTCAGTTATCTCCATTTTTTATCTGAGTTGGTCGAAACACGATCCCTCGACCAACATTCGGGGTTAGGTATGTCATTGGTGCAGTTGGACAAGTCTCCAACCATGTTGTTTGCTGAACATTGTTTAACCACTATAAAAATGTAATTTGCCATTGCATATTCAAATAGGTATTCATGGATAACCTTGAGACAAAGCCATGTCATACTTGAAGGTTATTATATGTTTGGTTAGATTTCCCATGCTTTCACTGAATCACAAGAAATTACCACAATAATGTGCTCTCACTCATTTGAGATCTACAGTATTGAATACATTTCTTTTAGTCATGTTCTAGTCCACCAGTTACAATAGCTCTGCCAGTTTTATTTCTTCTTTTCTCCTTTTTTGGGTGTGCCATTGACTATCGAAAATCTGTAATAGCTTTTCACTTTGAAAATTTGGCTTCACATAATAATTGCAAGTATATAGCTTTAACAAGATTCGTTTTGCATGGGAATATTAGTCTTTGAAAATAATATTGTGTGTATAAGAACATGATGTATCATATCTATTTTGCATTAGCTGCTGAAAGGAAACATCGCACTGACGAGGCACAGCAATCTGCTTCTGCTTTTAGTGGTCCAAATGCTCAAACTGGTGGAGTGTCCGTAAGTTTATGTCGCACTAAATTGAACTTCATTTCTGGTTAGTTTAATGCTGATGAACATGTCTTTTAGTTAGGAAACCATATTACTATTTTATTATAGCAACAAAAAAACATGTAAAGAACTAGCAGAAACGTCTGACATACTGACTAAATGTTTATTTAATGGCCTAGTTTTATGCTTCCTTTCATTGAGGTATTATTGCATTATAGTGTGGTCATTATTCATGGTTATGAAACTATGCTAGAATGGAACTTGTTTCCAAGTTAGGTATCTAAATCTGACTTGTGCTGAAGAGTTGTCACTAGGTTGAGGTTCTTACCATCAAAAGAATTGATTTTATGTGACTGATATTGTTCTTACAATCATGCGATTGATTATATGCCTCTTCGATGTTGTCATGTCCTACTCGAACAGTCTGTGATTGATTTTGTAAGTCACCATGGTAAAGATACCTTCCAATAAATTCTTTAGTATTGGGTGTACTTTAAACATAAGTTCCATGTTGTTACCTTGCCTGTTATACATTCTGTGCACAGGAGGCATGCTGGCTGATTAAGCCTGCAACACAAACTTTCCAATGCAGGTAAGCACTTCGGCACCGCACAACACTTCAATTTATCATGTGCCTGCCGATATGGTTGGCACTGCAATTCTTGCTTTATACTAGATAAACATCAGCACCTTGTTTTAGGCCACCGTGTTCATCATCACACCAAAACCAGTGGATGATCTTCATGCGATCATTCTAGTTGCACTCCTCTATATCTTGAAATTCTAAAACTACAAATTTTAGCCTTGGTACCATCTATGTTTTTCACTTGTGGCCAACTCATTGATCTTTTTTTATTTGTCTTCTAGGTGCAGACCCTCAAAATAATCCATTATGTGCTGCTTGTATGTATTAACACCATAATCAACATTTATGATGATACTAGGAAGAGAGATGTGTATACTGGCCCTGCTAGAGCAAAATGACATGACTTTCTTTGACAACAATTTGATAGGAAAAGCCTAGTTTCTACTGCAAGACATAAGCTATGACATGATTTACTTCATTGTTCTTGTTTGTTTGCTGCTTGTGTCCTCTAAATTCCTTTACAACACACTAATTGCACCAATTCCGGTCTCTATACAATAATGAAAGCAAAATCGCCCTCCTTTTATTGGAGGATACTTCCATAGAAGTAGAAAGGAGTATTCTTCAGAATCTTCTTTGGTGATTGAAAATGACTCTCACAAGTATGTTCCTTATGATTATAAGCTACTCAAATCTTTATTGTTGACAGGCTTCTCAAGCTTCACGCCAAGGAAAGACTGGTTCTCAAGAGCCTGCTGCTGCTCCAAACAACATTCTTTTCATCCAAAACTTGCCTCATGAAACAACAAGCATGATGCTCCAAATCCTTTTCCAGCAGTACCCTGGTTTTAGTGAAGTCCGGATGATTGAAGCGAAGCCAGGTATTGCCTTTGTGGAGTTTGCTGATGATGTACAGGCTTCAATCGCGATGCAGGCTCTCCAAGGTTTTAAGATCAGCCCACAAAACCCAATGGCCATCACCTATGCCAAGAAATGAGGATGTGTTGGGTGTAAGTTTTGTCTTAGGATGTCATGTAAAACAAGTCACAATGCCGAATTTCTTCTCAAAAGAATTATGTTCAAGGTCACTCGGACTTGAAGAGGTCTTGAAGAGATTAGTTTACTTTTTGCTGGACAGTTAATCTCTGCTCCTATTTGTATGACTGTACTTCCTGAAATGGTCTACTACTATGTTATACATGCTTTGGTTGATGAATTGTGTATACCCTACATATCAAACTGTATCACCAGGCTGATTCAGGTATTAGTATTGAAATCTATTCCCGATGGACCTGATTATATTGGTATCATATTGGTTCGAGGAGTCATTGTAAATCTGATTGGTTAGAATGGCTGTCATGACTGAGCTTTTATTCTTGGAACAGACTAGTTGGTGCATTTATATTTATGAGATATTTTTTTATTTTTTTTATTTTGTGCAAAGAACATGTGGCGAAGGTGAAACTTGATCTTACGATCTTGTAATGATTTGACAAAAGTCTTTATAAGATAAGCTAGTTATCATCTTTTGTCATATAAGGTTTTGAACTCTTTTAACTTTTGAGTTTTTTTACAAAAAGATTTAGAAATTTATTCATATGTTATGATTCAAATAAATTTATTCTTTCTTAATCAATAAAATTTGTAGTGTTTAAGTCTCATACGTATTGAAATATAATCATTATGATGTTTATGTTTTATAAATATGATAAATAATATATTTATTATTATTATTTTTTTAAGATTAAAGTATATGTTTTTTAAAAATATCATTCTTATTGTTTTATGTAATGTTAGTTGAGCATGCATAAGCATTAATATGTATGTTAAGTATAGTGTAACAAGCCAAAATATGTTAGTGGACTTGAGTATGAAGTTAAGTTATGGTAATAGACATGCATATAGTGAATACAAGTTATGGTTGAATCGTAATCGGCCTTAAGTGAATTAGTCTTGAATGAGTTTGAAGTTTGAGTTTAAATAATTAGGCATAGATAAAGTAAGGTTGTTGCAACATAAATGAAGAAAAGTGTTGTGTAAGTGAGATTTAATGATGAGTTTAAATAAAAAAAATATTATCTTTATCAAATCAAAATTAAACTCAATTAAGGTTGTTGCAACATAAAGGCCTAATGGAATTGAACCTAAGATCTCAAGGTCAGCTCTTAAGCACCTCAACTTTATTTTGGTCTCATCTTCTTTACCAACCAGAGAATCCATGAAACCTAGCTCTAAGGAAGATTGAGGTAATAAAAACTTAACTCTTCCTTTGCTATATCTATGGGTTCAATTTTACAATTTATAAATTGATATTTTCAGCTATTTTGAATAAGTTAGACTGGGAATTTATTTGTGATTTTTGAAAATGTTTTAGATGATTCTCTTATGATTATAAAGCCTCTAGTACGACATTAATATAAAATTAATGCATAGAGTTATTACTATCCTAATATAAGATACTCAAAATTTTCTATTTTTTATGAAGGGGTTATGTTCGAACTAAATTAACTCCCTTAGGAATATGATTATACTCTAGCTTTTTTATATGTTTTAAAAGTTTCCCTTAGAGTTTGTAAGATTTGGAATTGAGTAAATATCACCTTTGTGCACTAAGATATGAGATTTACAAATTCAAAAAGTCTTAACCTAATTTTAGCAAAATAGAATAGGTGTTGATAGTCAAATTAGGAGGGTAATTTAGCCTTTAAATGATTATGTTTTAAACTAAAATTTGGTGTGCATTTAGTTTTATATGTCTCCTAGTTTTCTATAAAATTTCATGATAATTCACAACCTTGAATAGGGAAGCAAGATTGTTTCATAAAATTGTGCAATGGTTTGATTGATGCTAGCTAGTTTATTTAATTTTAAAATAAATTATTAAAGTGGTGGAATATAGATAAATTTTCAACTTCAGTATAGTTTATTTGCAAGGGATTTTATCAAACTTTTTTTATGAATTATTGTAATAAATTCATATAAATTGATACTTCAAGAGGTAGGGTTCTTAATTAACGTATCTCATGATCTTATGCTCCCAATTTGATACGTATATTGCCCCCAGCACATTTAATCATTAAGGAACGTGATCTTTTCTTGGCATCTTTATTTTTGAGTTTAATAAGGTAAATATAAGTTTAATTCACTACAAAATAGTGATTGTATAAATTATCATATGCACACCTTGAAAAACATATTTCAAATGATATGATCGTTATGAGCTAAATGTAAATGTATATATTTTGTAAATATAAAAATATATGAATTATGATAAAAATGTATTGCATGCATGCATATATAACATGCGATGTGAGAGTGCACGTGTTTTTCTATGATGCGCGGTATGGGAGTGCATGAAACAATTACGATATGCAATACACATATATGTTATAACGTGCACTATTAGAGTGCACGTATGTATTATGACATGCAGTGTGACAGTGCACGTATATATGATAATGTGCGATGTGAAAGTGCTTATATATATATATATATATATATATATATATATATATATATATATATATATATATATATATATGGTGTGCGAATATACGTATTTATTATGACATGTAGTGTAAGAGTGCACATATATATTATAACGTGTGGTGTGGAAGTACATGAAAATATTACGACGTGCAATACACATATATGCTATGAAGTGCAGTATGGGAGTGCACATATGTATTATGATATGCAGTGTGACAGTACACGTATATATGATAATGTGCGGTATGGAAGTGCATATATATATTATCACGTACGGTGTGAGAATGCATGTATCTATTATGACATGTAGTGTAAGAATGCATATATATATATATTATAACGTGTGGTGTGGAAGTGCACGTATATATTATAACATACGATATGAGAGTACACATATATATTATTATGATGTGAGATGTGAGAGTGTATATATGTATGTTATGATATAAGGCATAGAATTTCATGAATTGCTACGTTTCCTACATATGCATATAAGTATTTTGAATTATTTGATGTAGAATTTTATACTCTTTTTTTTCACATGCTATGTGTAGGGTTAAATTGTTTATGCCAATTATTTTCAAACATTATATATATATATATATATATATATATGTATGTATGTATGTATGTATATATACATATATATACATATACATATACATATATATATACATATATATATGTATATATGTATATATATATACATATATATCTA